GTCCATCTTCCCATCGACCTCATAGAACCCAAAATGCTGCCATATCGCAGCTTTTAAAGAAGCTGGTGCAGGCCGTATAGGTTTGTCGCTCGCAGCCATTTTGTCGCCACTAAAACTTTGGATGTAAAGAACTCGCACATGTGTTTGATGCGCATGCATGTTGGCGGAGAACCGGCAAGCAGAGGAGGAGAGTTTTCTGTAGCGCTCTGCAGCAGGCGAACAGAATGTTGCAGCACGCAAACTAATTTAATTTTTAAAATTCCGATTATTAACTTATCTGCATCGAGACGGAATCGTTCTAGAGAGAATCGCGATGCATCGAAGAATCGATTATTTTTCCCACCCCTAGACTATGTATGCTATTATGTTGCCAAATAATTACCAGGGTATGTAGTTAGGTACTGTAGCTCATATAAAGCAGATTTATTTTCCCATTTGGAATCCTTTGCCAACCAGGCTTTATATTTGGGAAAACTTTACCCATTACGCATTGTGGCCGAGTTCCACTGTCAAATATCTCTGCCCGAAGAGAAAGTAAACTAACCTATGCTTCCTATAATATACACTACCATTATTTTGCCTTAACATATTAAATTAATATTATATTATTGCTGCCCCCAATTTTTTTTGGCTCTTTCATAAATAAGAAACAAAAATTTGGTTAATAAAGTTACACTATTTAGTTTTCACAGCATCATAAAGTCAGTTCACTTTTCTGATAACTACATCACTGCATAACTCATAAATGTTTAGACAAGATTAATATCTGATTAATTGTGATGCAATGTAAAATGCATTTGAAAGATATTCCCCAATTTCTTTCAAACTACTCTGGGCGCAGATGTCTGGATTTGGTTCAGTTAGAAGACACTTGAGGCAGAGCTGATTGGCAGGCTGTGGCATTCAGGCGTAGAGGCAGGTCTGTGTAGTGTGCCTTCAGTCGCACACCATACTTCTCGCTTTTCTTTCAACGACTTGAGGCTCGCTCTGGCCCGCGCTCTCTCACACAGTGCTGTCAGCCTGCCACACACGCCATAAAAACACAGCTTGTATGATCAATTTATTATCTAAACCTCGAAATTACTCAAATCAAATTCCAAAGTTTTCCATTCTGCAGAGGAACCCTGCCTTATTCATAGAAAAAAATGTTGTTGTTTTTGTTTACATTAACAAAATGAACAATGGATGGGTGGTGGTGTGTCCGCTGCCCCTGGTTAACATGGGTGATGAGCTGAACTGTTCTTTGAGGCCATTTCTTCTCCTAAAGGGGCATTTAAATCAACCCTGACACTATTAGTCATGTTGACCCATCCAGAATGAGTTGCACAAACCAATGTCCAATATTTAATAGTCAGTGTTGTTAGCTTAAAGTAGTTGAGGATATGTTTAGAGTATAATACATTAAATATTAAATGTTATATAACTTAAAAAATAGAAACAGGTCTGCATCCAACCTCACAGTCGATCTCTTGCAATACCTACCGCAGCTGAATTCAGTCTCACACTGTACCATCACGGTCAAATGAACTAATTCATTAGCACATTAAGTCGATGTGGATCAGCCTGGCGGCAGGCTGAGTGGAAGCAATGTTATACAAGAGGTGAACAGGGCTGTGAAGCTCAGTGTGTACGTGTGTGTGTCATTACATGCCGTATATAGTATGTATATGTGGGTTTGTTTATTGTAATCACATCAAGTCCAGACAATTTTGAGTGTGTTCCCAGAAGATGGGGGTGGGGAGGTGAGGGGAAGGAGTGTGAGGTGGGTGATGAAGGCGGGGTCCTATAGCATATGGAATACACATCATGTCCTTGATAAGGATCAAAGGAGTTATGTAAGCACCACAAAAAAAAAATCCCTTTGTTTGGTCCAAGAACACACTCCCAATCACACCTGACTGCCAGAGACGTGTGTGTGTGTGCGCGCACACATGCATGTGTCCATTTATGCATCTGCCAAAAAGAAAGAAAAAAGAAGAAACAATGAAAAAGAAAGAAGAAAAAAAGAATAGACATGGTCTCACTGTCTCTAATTCTGTCTCTCTCTCATCCATGCAGCCAGCACATGTTTGTGTTTGCTTTGGAGGAAAATAACAGGAATAAATAAAATGAACAGGAGACGCCGTCATTAGACTCTCCAGAACATTCTGAGAAAATAAACAAAAGATGCAGCCCACAAAGCGTCCTGCGCTCAACTCCTCCTCCCTGACATGTTTGACTCCTTCTGATCCAGTGCAGGAAACAGCAATCTCTGGACTCTGGTCTGATACAGTATATGTCGGTCAACACTTACTTTTCTTGAAAAAAAAAAAATCTATAAATGGTATGGCATATTTTTGCCGATTTCTCAGCTCCAATTGCTTTTTTGAAAGTTCTAGAAAGGAAACTCTTAAAACTAGTACAGATTTGCCACCATAGTTTCTTCCTTGCGCTTGGAAAGGAAGGTGAAGCAAGTGAGATCTGCACAGGTGTCATACTCATATTGGGCTGCACGATAGGTAATTGTCAAAGATTTTACCTTTATCAAAACATTGAAGCTTCTGCGATTTGGCTATTGCATTTGGCGATTTCCATTATATTTTGATTAATTGTGCTGTCCTACAATATGACAAGAAGAAGCAGACAAGAGAGCGAGACCCAGCCCTATTTGAAGAAGCTTTGCATGCAAACAGCCGGTAGAAATGTCTACGAAGAAATCAATTTTTACATTTCATAGCCTGCACTTTTTCACTCTTTCTTGAGTAAAGAAGCAGAATAAGTACTTCTATATTTACCTTTTAGTCTTCTGTATTTCTACTAGCGTAAAAGATGTGTGTACTTTTGCCACCTCTGAGAATTTCAAGTTTAAAGGCTCAAGTTAGAGCGAGTCAGGGGTGTGAAAGTCGACTTGCTTTTTTTTTAGTTTTGACCACACCTCTGATAAACAGCATCAAAAAAGCGTATGATATAATGAAAGTACTTATAATATAAGTGATTATAATATGTTCAACTGTTTTTTTAATACAGAATCTTTTAGAACGTTCTGCATTGTGCCTTACCTTACAATGTTTATTTGTTGGATATATTAACTTATCATGTTCTTTCTTTTCTTATTATGAATGATGTCTGACTTGCATACAGCTGGAACCTGTGACACCTATCAGTAAATTTAAAAGCTCAAGTGTCATTTTAACAAATAAGACCTGGAGTTCTTTTCTACCTTTCTATCTTTTTCTACCTAGGTTCTCACAACTCTTTATCTGAATTCTAAACATCAGTGTTACATCCTTTATTCTTGACAAAAGTGAAAAGTTAGGCCATTTTCAATACGTCTTGAGTTACACTTCGTTCAGGCTTGTGCAGCTCGTGTTTTGTTGAGCTCTCTCTGATAGAAGTTAACACCTGTGCAGCCTGCTCAGCACCGTCAGGCTCAAGTTGCAGTGAAAGCGCCACATCAACACAACATGTGACCTGTTCCCTCAGCAAGTCTTCAAACTGGAAAAAGTACACACCTGGGAGTCGCACAAACAGACACACAGTGTACCCACACACACACGAGCACATGTACACAACCTTTATACATTTCCAGACAGGAACACTTATGCAACATACGACAGACAAAACATACAGTAGTCTGGAGGAGCTGTTGCCGTTCGCAGCGTCCCACCCACGGGTGCCCTTTGTGTGTTGGTCTGTCATCATCCACTTACTATATGGATGGACAAATTAGCTGAGAAGTAGAGCTGATGAGAGGAGAGCAGAGTGTGAAAGAGAGAGCAGGGAGACTGAAGGGTAGGGAAATGCAGCTCTTTCTCAGAGCTGATGGCAGACACTAATGACTAATGAAGTTGTTTGGATGTTTTCTTGAAAAGGCCTCTGTGGACGGAGGTGGATTTACAGCCTCAACACATATGTGCTTCACTTGTACCTGTCAGCACATTTCAAAGCACGTTATTCTATCTGCAGGCATGAAACAGGGATGCTGAACTGAGGACAGTTTGTCCCAGAACATAATGAGAAGTTGTGATTTGCTCTGAGACCTGAATACAGAGCAGTTCTCTTATTATAGTTCTCTTACAATTATTATACTGTAATTTTCTTATTCTGAATGTCTACTAGTCTACAGCATATGGCTTTAGAGTAAACATCAGGTGTGACCAGGTCAACCTTAAAGGGATTTTTCCTTCACATATTGTTTCATTTGAAGAAGTTTAGAGGCCTGAGGAGGTTAGACTGTAAGGTATTTCAAAAGAAAAAAGAAAAAATGGATCCTTTTGTATCCGTTTAATCATGGTGACCCTTTAGATTTCTCATGAGACTCAATCCCGGGTATAAGTTTTAAATTAAAAGGTCAAATTAAAGTCAGGTAGTTTTAAGAGTAGGCTTTTCAAAAGTGCTTCACTTTCTCCTCTTTCTCTCTGGATTTTTTGAAATATGTGAGACCTGTCAGCGCAACAACTGAAGGCTACGGACTCGGATGTGGTCCAATGCTTCCCCCTAGAGGTGCACAATACGTCTGCATATAAATGTGTGTGTATGTGCGTGTGTGTGTTCCTACTTTAGTCTGGAAGCAGCAGAAGAGCTGTGTCAGGTAGGGGTGTTTTCTGGCCAGGGCCAGAATCCGTTTCTCAGTCAGAGTGCAGTCCACGTCGTCATCCTGCAGGATCACGTCTTTCTTCAGCACTTTGACTGCGTAAACCTCGTCGGTGCCTTTCAGCTCCGCCAGCATCACCTGGTCACATGACACGCAACGGTCGCAAATGCAGTCAGAACCACAAATATGGCGCTAGATATCTATATAATATCTTCCACAATGCTCTCCTTGCTCCCATGTGTTTCTTTTCTCCCTCTCCATCTCTCATTGGGCCTATTTGTTCCTGTTTACTCACAGAGGAATGAAAGAGGGATTTATACAAAAATAAAAGCAGTTGTACGCTCACCTTTCCGAAGCTTCCTTTCCCCAGAACTTTGATGAACAAAAAGTCTTGCAGGTTCATCCTCTTTATTTCAGGAGCGACGTGACCTTTGACCTCTCCGTTCTCCCGGTTTCCTTTAACCTCCACTGCGATGCTGCCCCCATCTTCACCTCCTCCTCCTTCCACACCTTCCTGACTGTCCCCCGTTACCGTAGAAACAGACGAGGCGGAAGAGAGGGGTTGTGTTTTGTGCTCCTCCCCGCGGTGGTCAAACGACAGAACCTTCCGGATGTTCTCCAGCTCCTTCGCATCTGGACAGAAGTTAAAATAAGATGAGTTCTGGCGTGTTTGCTCATGTGGTTCGGTTTCATGCAAGTAAGATTTTATGTGAGATGGTTAGAACTTCTGCTACCTTGGTCACATGGGGAGGTGGGGGCGGACTTTGAGCGATCGTCTTCTGTCTTAGGCGTCCCTGATAACGGCGGCTGGGGGTCCTGACCCTGAGGAAGCTGTTTAAAGATAAAACACATGTCTCAACATCTTCATCACTAGAGTTTGTAAAGTAGAATTAGCAAAAGTCTGTTTAAAAGGTCCAGTGTGTAACATTTAGGAGAATATATTGGCATAAATGTAATATTTATAGCATGCCACTACATCCTACACACTGGACCTTTAAATGTTTTCAATTATAAATGCTATAATCAAATGCCTCTAAGCAATAGCCAGCTGACTTGCTCTGAATCTTGTGGATGACGCCCACCTTTTTCCGTCTCTGGGCGCTGTTGAAGATCTTGTCTGGTGTGACTCCGAGGTCAGAGAGGACTTTAGCGATTCCTCTGGCGTCCACGCCACAGTTTGGAGCTACGTTACTCTCACAGCGTCTGTGTACATTCACTTTACACACTGAGACACACACACAGGAAAACAGAGATTTAGCATTTTTATTTTGTCCAGGCCACCACCACCACAGGTATGATAAAGACCTGAGCAGAGTAGTGTGTCCGTCCGTACCTTTACACTGGAGTCCCTGTCGTAGCAGACCCCAGAGCAGGGACCCACAGTGGTCGCAGAAGGTGAGAACTTTGAAGTTGTGGATGCTGAACTTGTGCGGCACGTTGACACTGAACCTCTGAGAACCGACTGGCTGTAGGAGGCACAAAACGACAGTGAGACAAACCTGCGAGAGTCTGGAAGTCTGAAACTGGAAACATGAGGCAATGTGAATGTTGCTCTCTACCAATACTGTCAACGTTCCTTTTTTTGGTAATTTAACATTATTGATAGTTGATAGATGAGAAAGGACATGAAATGAGAAATGAGGGGCAAGAATTGGAATGAGAAGGTCCTCTGCTGAATATATACAGGGAACATCGACCATCTGGACGGCTGGATGTCCCTTTAACCTTTTTTAACAACCAATCTGCAACTTCACCACTAGATGCCAGTAGATCCTACATCCATACATACATGTAGCTGTAGATCAATACCTCTCCAACTGTGTCCTCCTGCTTCTTCATCCCTGCACACTTGGTAATGATCAGCTCATGACAGCGCTTGTGGACCACACAGGTACACACTGCAGGAGGAACACACACACGGGCATAAGAAACACATATACAAGGCAATAAGTGCCTCCAGTTGATAATCTTACAACCATAAATTAATATTAAGACACGCTGAAATACAGGAATGTAAAGACATGGTTCTAATAAAACACCAGCCTACCTTGACACTGGTAGCCCTGCTTTCCTAAGACGCCCCTGAAGGTCAGAGAGAGACAAAAAATGTGTTGTTAATATATAATCAATATATACTGTATGTATAAAGCCTTTCAGCGCCTCTCTTGTGAACTACTGAGAAAGGGAGGATGTTGTTATAAGAAGAGATATACAGGTGGTTATAAGTTATAAATTCTTGTCCAATCCCCAGCATGATGATCAATGCTTTGTGCCTCTGATTGGATGTTCTTCAGCATTGTTAGCTACATCTTAAGTACAACTATTGTACTGCTATACTGCCAAGAATGTTTTAGGCATTTTTCCTCTGAAATGGCACATTTTGCAGTGGTTACTACAGTAAATACTACCTGGCCCCCATTACAACTTTGTTCTTCTGCATGGTGCAATATTTTTGCTGATTCACCTCAGAAACCCTGAGCACTGGAGTACTCTTTCAAACACGATTTCCTTGTGATTCTGATTACACATGAAACGTTCTCTCCGAGCTGGGCTGAAAGCAAACCGAGCATTAAGGCCACATGGTTTCCATGTGAGTGCCGCTAAACACAGTTTGTTGGGATGGAAACAAACACAGCTGGCTTTGTTTATTACTCCACACTTCACAGCATCCACTGTGTTTACATGTAAACAAGACAGCAGGTTAGTGGTAGGACTCAGGTTAAGGCAGGAAATCAGAACATGTTTACATACACTGCAAAATCCGTTACTGTAAAACATTTGTTTACAGGCATTTTAAACCAACCTTAGCACTTTTTAAGCATGTTTGAGTGTTTGCTTTTGGGCTGCAGTCATAGAACAGGCAGTAGGAAATCACATTTTTTTCTTACTGAGTGCATGTTTACTGTTTGCTGGTTACGGACAAAAATTATTTAGACACTTAAGTTTAGTGTAGGCTTTAGTTGGACCATTGTCAGGACCCTTTTAAATATTTTGTTAAGCATCTGTATGGCAAATGAATGAGAATTATTGTTCCTACAGTTGGATGTTTGAACTTCTCTGTGCAGAATGATGTATGTGCAGTTTGACACTAGAATGATGTTTTCACATTCATCTGCTGAAAGTGCATACATATTCATTATGGTAAGGGTGTGTGTCCTCACCAGATGAAGTCCCTGCAGTGGGAGCAGTAGGTGGGCTGTCTCAGGTAGGTGGCCATGAACTTGTGTCCATTGACCTGGTGGACCCTCCGGCGGACGGCACCCTGGCGCTTCCTAGGACGCATCCGCTGCCGAAACACACGCTCCTCATTCTCGGTGGAGCACGGCGCAGCTGCACGTACACACGAGCAAAATACAAAAAAAAGTGATGTTATACACATTTGTATAGACAGTAACAGAAAAAGTAGGAGGGCTGTAGCAAATGTATGTACTGTAATGCGATGTTGTTAGTGTGTGGCTTCTTTGAAACAGTCCCAGATAAGCTCATGCATATTTATTTAATCTTTAAATGCATGATACTGCAGGCTTCCCGCTGTCTTTTTAAGTACGGGGAGTTGGAGAATCATCAGTGAGATAAATGAGCAACACATGCAAGATTTGGTGTCTGTGTTCTTCAAAATCTGCGCTCACACCATGTAGCCACTAGATGGCACTGACATTGCGTGATTGAGGATGAGGTTGTACACCTTTTCTTTTTCTCACTGTCAGTCACAGCGTCTGCCCTCGTCTTCACTGCTCTTGATGTCTCGTTTTGTTTAATGACACAGGGTTTGTCCCAGTGGAACAGCAGAGTATTAAATCACTGACAAACCCTGTTTTAATCACACACACACACACACACTACCTTGAGTGAGCAAGTGAAAGAGGGAGGGGAGACTTTGCAGTAATGTTAATTGGGAAAAAAAATGAGGTTGGGAGGAGACACTGAGAGGCAGGTAGAGAATCATCAGATTCACAACTTTGAGTTTTCAAAAATAAGAGCACAAATTGGCATACTGTTGTTAGACACATTGAAGCACTATATTCAATGATAATAAAAAGTTGAAGGATCAGTTTATCCAAATTACAAAACAACAGTTCTTTTTTTGTGGGTGCTTTAATATAAAATAATTCCATTATAAGTATTTATAATCTTATGCTGTGGCAGGTTTCGTGCAGATTCAATGTATTTTATAGATGCAAACTTTAAACATCAGTAATATCTCAATAAGGTATATTGTTGGGACAATAAATGTGCATCAAAATAGCTCCCAGCACTACATTTGATATCGATAATGAGATTCTCCAGATATTAAGTGCATTTTACGGAGCGATCTAACTCTTCCCTCAGTGTTACCCACAAAACAATTTGCAATTTCCAAATCCAGTCTGGTGACATAAGTGATTTGCATTTTGGATATGACTGACCCTGAGTGGGCATCAGGCCTATAACTCTGCTGGCCATGTTTGCCATCATCAACCCACTGTGCAACTGAGCTTCACAGAATCCTTTTTCCTCAGTAGCTGTGGTATGAGAACATCATCCAACACCATCTGTCTCCTCTCTTCATTCCGTCTTCACTACCTCAGATCAAGTAAGAAAGCAGAAATGTTTCAGTGCCAACGGGTAAATTACCTGCCACATCCTTAGTTAATATATGAGTAGTCATAGCTTTTATCATAAAATATTTATTACATTTTATGTTTTTAGCAAGGATGCCTAAGAATGTCTGTCAGTTCAAAAAACTTCAAAAAGCACTGGCTGGATTGATTTGCTGTGGATATGTTCTCTAAAGGATGAATCTGGCCTTTCCTTGAACACCTGTCAGTCGAAACAACAACTTTTTACACAAATTGACAGACATTAACCTTACTTAACATATTCATGCTCCCCGAAGGATTGAACTCTTCCTATTTCAAACACTTTACAACCTTTCCTATAGTGCCAGCCTCAGGACAAACTTTACATTTATAGCTTCTCTTCTGATAAACCTCAAGGACTCATTGTACATTCCTTTCTCCCCGTCATGTTCTGCCTGTCTTCACTCTTACTCTTTCAGCCCCTTTGCCATACGCCATCACCATCGCCTAGCAACTGACGGCTGCTGCCTAGCAACGGTGTTAGACCTAGCGTCGTCCACTGGGAAGGGTTCAGGGTTGGGGTCTGTGATAGGTATGCTGTTCCTCTGTGATGTCCTTTATCACAACCCAGAAAGTTAAAGTAAAGATTTAAATAGCTCGATGTTGTAACAGTGACAGGGACTACAATGAGCCATCGGCAATGCACCTACTGTATGATCACCAACTATACTTAAAGTCTTACAGGAGTGTAAACAGTGTTTAGGGTTTAGTGGCATCTTTTAGTGAGATTGCAAGCCCAAACTAGAGCCAGTGTTTGGTTTGTTCATTCTGGGCTACTGAAGAAACATGGCAGGTCAACATGGCGGACTTCATAGAAGAAGACCCACACCCTCTGTAGATATGAAAGGCTCATTCTAAGGTAATGGAAACAAAACGATCCCTGTTTTCAGGTTATTATATACTGATGAAAACACACTTAAAAATATTATATTCCATTTCTGCCAAAAGATCTTCCTAAATGTTACACACTGGACCTTTAAGTCCCCCTTGAAACCTGTAGAGGCTGTTATGTTAATTAAAGTGATGGAAGGAACAAACATACGGACAAAGTTATTGCCCTGAGGAGGGATCATGTTTGAGTCCAGAGTGTTGGACAGACAGATGGTGGATAGCAATGGGAGAGTCAACTGATACCGGTACTCATTTGTACTCCTCCATAGATTACAGTTAACACATGCTGGATTGTTGCTTTCTAAAATGAATAAGGCACGTGGCATAAGTTTTCATTTAAATCTGATAACGAGCTTTGCCTTGACCAACTGAAACCTGATTGCTTTGCTCACTATTCCAAGCACTTTAACTTGTCTGCCACCAAACCAGATACTTGAAACGCTTATCTAACAGTATAAAAATGCAGATGCTGGCTGTTAAAAGAATGAATATATGACATTCATGAAGTGACGTTTCCCAGAAGCTTACTGCTGATTTTCAGTTCTAACCATCCAGGAACTTATACTAAACTGTGACTGGTCCAACATTTCAACATGACAACACTGACGATAACCTGAAGAAGACTCATCAAGCATACACTATCTTCCTCAACACCTAAACCAGCAAATATGCCTGACCAATCAATGTAGGTGCAGCAGTGCTTTCAGCTTATTGAGTTAGAGTGTTACCATTTGTAAACTAGCACTAAATAAAAATCACAATATCATTAGTTTTGTAGTATTGGACAAAATCTAAATTTTTTGACCTGATGGCGCTGGATGATTAAGTTAAGGGATCACCAAAGTCATCGCAATCGATCCTGAAGGGACCACGAATCATTATCAAATGTAATGCCAACCCATCCAACAGATTTCAATAAAAAGAATGGATGAGTAATACTCCCCGTGTAAATTTGACATTAAAAAATGATTGAGGTTGAATGTGTGTTGATAATGAATGCAAACAGTGTCAAATGCAAATGCATCTCACTACATTACATTATTCTATCCTACATTATGGAGCTTCTCTACCTCTTTACCACGCTGCTGGTGTTGCTCTATATTTTAAAGTTATGTCCATCTTCTATGCACTCAGCTTAGTCCTTGTAATTATCCATGAGTCCTTGAATTTAACCAGGAATAAGTGTTCTAGAAAGATTTTTCTTAGAAAGCTTCATTATAATACTCTCCTAGCTGATAACAACAGAGCCAGAAAAACATATAAATATTTCACCTGCTTTTAGCAACAGGCAGCGGCTTATCATCTTGTCCTGGTGACAGCGGGGTGTGTGTGTGTGTTTGTTTGTGTGTGTATGTGTGTGTGTGTGAAAGCTAACAGGTTGATTGCAGCTCTCAGGTCTGACAGTTCAACCATGTGTTCTCTGCTATGCAAACACATTTAAGTAATGACTGCAATTTCAGTCGCCCGCACACACACACACACACACACACACACACACACAGGTATATAAATATATTGTATGTCACTGCAGATAGAAAGAGCAACAGAAAAATGATGAAAGATTAAAGAACAAATTTATACAAGAAAAGTCCTTGTCCTAATGACACCTCTTTGTCACTGAACTATCGCTCTCTCACCCTCTCTCTCTTTTTCGATGATGTAACTGGTCCATTAGAGAACACTCCACTTTACTAATCAATTTATCTCCCCCCCTTTGACCTCTGGTTAACTCCCTCTCTGTCTTTCCCTTCCTCCATTCTGTCATGTCTCTCTAATACGTAATCTGGTGTACACACACACAAACACACACACAGGTAAAAATTCACTCTGTCAATTCTGGACTAATGACCCAACACAAGGTCACTCACATCAGCAAACAGATTTTGCTGTTGAAATGGTTCCTAATTTTTCCTTTCAGTTTGAGGGGTTGAGTTCGGGTCGTTGGAAGACTGTAAGGTGGACAGAGACATACATGTGGTAATGTTTCTGTTCCCTCGATATCACTTTTACTAGAAATCATTTAGATTTTATGGATGCGGATTCAGATTCTGCTTATCTTACTGTATCTGCCAACCAAATTATGTTTAAAACAGAAGCTACCTTTATTTTCAACCGATTTAGGCTGCCATTAATGGTTATTTGTCATAAATAATGTGGGATGTTGTATATATATGTTTGGTTAGAAAAGGAAAAAAGGGAATTTAAATGATGCGTTAACCATTTATCAGTGCCTTCAGCAGTAGATTCAAAATTTATGTACAGAGCCTGTATATGTCGATGGAGAAGAATCATCATTGGTCTTTAAATGTTACAGTGAACAAACGGATCCACATATAAAACTACATAAAGGACAAAAGCTGTGCACAGTATTTGATTCTTTTGACAGAGGCATAAAGGTTTGTATGGTATTGACACAACCTGAACCTTGGTTAGTTGGTCAGACACCGGCAGTTTTCTTGTGCAGGACCTGGAGCATTTCACTACCTCAGAATCAGCCTAAAGCAGCTAGGAATAATAATTAGTGTTCACCAAACTGTATTATCAATTTAATACTACTACAGTTGAAGCCATGGAGGATGAACAGTAGTGACAGACAAACAGTTTGTTCACCTGTGTACCAGATCCTCCTGTTTAAACACTCTCTTTCTCCATGTTCCTTGGAAGTGCCTGACAGGTGATCCCTCTGGGCCCTCTCTGTGAGTGTTTGTGTGTTCATGCTTTCCTGCACATTTCCACACTTACCCAACCTCTACAAACCTGACTCACACCAACAGGGTTTCTGCAGGTTTCAACAGGTTCAATTTAAGACTTTTTAAGACCATTATGTAGGATATAAAGGAAGGTTAGCCATTTTTTTTAATGTTGGTTTTGTTTTATAGTTGTTACATCATGGTCGATACAATCTTTTCCCAAAAACACATGTAAAAGCAAGACTTAAAAAGGCAACTTTATAAGTAACTTAATTAATCCAACAAAAAAAAATATAACCTGTAGACTTTTTAAAATCCCCACAGACACCCTGACCAAGGATTACACACACAGTGACACAGCTATGTTGTGTGTGTCTCCCCTCTCACCTTTCACACTGCCATGAAGACATAAACAATACTGCTAACATGCCTGCCTTTTGGAACAGTGGAGATTTAAAAGACGTTCTTCCAAAAACTGGACATAATTAAACTTTTTTAATATGTAGCATACATCAGACATAGATAGGTGGTGCAGGGATGACATGTATAGGATAACATGTTCGTTTATTGATCCCCTGTAGGAGAAATTCAAGTTTGAAACAGCAGCAAAGGGGAATGTAGTGTAGTAGAACAGTAGAGAAGAATACAATCAAAGAATAATACAATAAAAATAAAAAGATAATAAAGATATAAGAGAATATAAAAACTATAATGAAAACATATACACTATATGCAGTATGCAATAAAGGAGTGTACTGTGACAAAACTATTTAAACAGTGCAGTTATTACATTGTTTATTTGAATTTGAATTATAAAAAAACATATCTTATGACAATGTTTTCCTGGCAACATCATCATCAGTGCAATCATCAGTGCAATCATCAGTGCAATGCAAACAGCATTTTGTTTCGCATCTCTAAGCATCAGTGGTTGGTTTCTTGTAACCATTAAGGGTTTTTTTTTCTCTGAGCTTAACCAAGCACTGCGTCACTATAGGTTAACCTCCACATCCTTTTTAAAAGTAACATTTTGGATTTACAGCGAACATAAAGCAACTTCCAGGAGAAGATTACAGCTTGAGCCACTCTCTCACTGCAACACGTCTCGCGTTATAAATAATGCGGTGATCTAAAAGAGTCAAACACTGAACTGTGTGTCACCATTAAACCATAACTGGTGGCACTTGCTGCATGACGTCATGTCTCTCATTACAGTCGAGGAGTAATCACAAATGTACAGAACAACTGTGCCATTCTATTTCCCGATCTAATGCTGTTGACTGCACATGGTGACAGACTGACTCAAGACTTACAGTGTGACACACACAGGTTAAGAAGTCCTACTTCATAAC